ACCCCCCCCCCCCCCATAGTTACAAATTCAAAACCATATAATTACGTTGAAATATACAAAGTCTGCACATTTTTAAGAAAAAATAATAGTTTTTTAAGGAAATTTTTTTTAAATAAAACAACAGATATAAAAAAAAATTCAAATGTCTGTATGATGGTGGTTATGCTAATAGAAGTCACAATTTTGTAAAGTGTCGCTTTTAAAGAAACTTTTACAATCTTTTAAGAACACCCTAAAATACGTACGGGCTATTAACCGACAAATCATTTTAGTTCATTTTTAACGGACTGCAGTCATGTGTGTAAATATACTGATGGTTGGAAAATCTGCCGCCTTGCGCCCCCCCCCCACACCGTCTTTTCCCGGAAAATTCTGATTATAACAATCTTACTAAACATCTTTTTTTTTAAATTACTGCTTATCAGGGCCGCCGAGAGGATTATTTAGTGGTATTTATTTTGTAACACCTTCATCGCGGAACTTCTTTCTTTTGCGATTTGATTCACCCCGAGTTCCAGAGAGTTCAACTTCTATACATAAATTAGAAACAAAATGCTTAGCTTTGCTCCACATAATTTTCTAGTTGTTCCGAAGATTTTTCACTTCAGAAAAAAAGATTTTTAAGTTTGACACTTTGACATCCAGCATTGCATTTCTGGACTGAGTAACGTTGTTACAAATATCAACCGGAGCTCGGAACTAATACTCTGTACCAAACAACATAATTTATCACACAGATGAAGGATGTGACATAAGATAGAGCTCCGTGTATCTCTGTTCTTTTTTTTTTTGGCAGTTAGGTTCAAATCCAGATTTTCTTATCTTAATTTGATGCTTGGCAGATGGGCAACAAATGGCTTTACACTATGCGCGATAACCCGACAGTGGAATATCTGGTTCTTTCAATGTTTCTCCTATCATCCGTGCAATGTCATATACTGTTTTATTGTTTGTTTCGACAACCGGTAAAAATATTTCATACTGGTCTTCATGTGGTGTTATCTAAGGCACAAAAATGTGGGTTTTTTTCAACATGAGATGAATTGGCGTTGCATCAACACAAACACCAAAGTACTTTGCAGTTTTTCCTCGTCTCCAAAATGTGTTGCTTTACACGTGAGGAACATTCAGAGAGAGACAAAAAGAGAGAGCCCCCCCTCCCCACCACACTGTCAAGGGTCGCAGGAGGGCTGCACCTCTGACCCTTCATGGGCCCCTTTGAGCTCCATGGACCCCTAAACAATGTACCGTCTGCAACCATGACCCTTTCCTCTCCCCATCCGCCCATCAGGCCTGTTGGTAATATAAAATCCGAAACATACTCTTACAATCCAGTCAGATTTAATTTATTATTACAAACACCACCATTGAATATTGCAAACTGGCATGCGGGAACATGATGCAGCGTAAACACCGAGTTAATTGATTAGCATGATATTTTACACCTTCCTTTCATTTCGTATAATTTAACACTTTATTTTACAATAACTTTAAAAATAGAAAAATCATTTTGCGTGACTTACTACCTCTAAAAATTATAAAAATCGGCTTTAATTAGCTTAGAACGTGGCTTTATTCCTGGATGCTTCACTAAGTAGCAATAATATCAACTTTTATGGAAGGTTTAGACGCACCACTAGGGTTGGTGTCTCCCCTGCCCCCCCTCCCACACTTTTTTTCCCCCCAGATCCCACCCCCACCCCCTTTTTCTGGATCCCCCTCCCTCCAGACCCGCACCATGTAATTCTTAACCAGGTCAATCATAATCACATAGAGCATTGTTTGCCAATTAAGTCCTAAGGTAACAAGAGACATAAAAAGAAGAACAACAACAAAAGGTGCAGCGTATAAAATGAAACAAGACCTACAGACAAAGTTGTTTGTATAAATCCTTTATAAAATGTCTTATTGAGCAGCGGTGAGGGGAAGGACATTGGATAAAGCATGCCTACAAGTAATGCACTTTATATAAGAATCACAATTTGTGCTTCCATCCCCCCCCTCCACCCACCCCCAAACCAAGGCTCGCAACCCCACATTTTTTCCACGCCCCTGAACTATATTAATCATTCTAATTTCCCACCGTTTTGACACCGTAGATTTATTAAAACAAATAAGAAAATATTAAGCACCAAACTCATTTGTGATATTTTTTTAAACTCTCCTTTAGCGCAGGTAGCTGGAATTTTATTTCGTGAAATCAGTGGCATTATATTTCCTTCATCTCCCCCCCCCCCTTAAAACAGGAAAAACTGAATTTTGGGGGATATTATGGTGTTAAAAATTAAATAGAATATCTTGTCATAGAGAACGAGTCTATGTGCCAAGTTTCAGCTCGATAGGTTGACGGGGAGTGGGTCAATTAGCTGTCCGCAGATTTTGCCAGCCAGAAACACACGAACAAAGACGACGTTAATTTTAAGGGATTTTAAAACCAACAAAATTACTTTTATTGAAAAATGTTAACTTTACAGATACAGCTTGACTTTCCTGGTTTTCGAAGATGAAAACATGTCAATCGCTTCATCAAAACCAACACCTTTCACCTGATCAATTGACAGAATCACAAGACCAGAAAGTCTGCTCGGTTCCATGGCAGATCACAAGGAGCTCTTTATAACTTTCAGTTTTGACATGAAGCCACAGACACACAGATCGTGTGGACAAAAAAAAAAGTAAGCTAAATGAGAGGATGGTGCAAAAATCCAGGAATTCCCATTGAGCTATGAATTTCAAAACTTAAACTATTGAACAAGCTGTGGCTTCTTCGAGATTACTATCTGCTTCTTTTAGGTTCCTTCACAGCCGTTCACTTTCAGACCACTCATCATCAAAAGTGTTCAGTAAGGGATTGGACACCAGTGACTCTTCTTCAGTCACCAAAATATGACCCCTAGCTTGAACAGCCTCCAAACCCAGCAGTCCTCATAATACGGCCCGTGGGCCAGATCCAGCCCACCATGTGTCCTTAACCCGGACCATTTTGCCACCGTGCGGGTACCCGGGTAGCAGTGACAATTGATTAAGTGGGCATTAATCATCTCTTAAGCCTACATTAGGTCAATAGTTTTCATAGAAATACGAATAAGTAAATGTTAATAAAAAAAAATATTTAAAGTATTGCATTCTTTTCTCATTTCTTTGCGCAACAAATAAGAAATGTGCCATGTGCACAGTAATGTGTTAATATTCTTATTTTTTTAAGCTATAGCCCCAGAGTCTGAGGGACAGTAACCCGCCCCCCCCCCTGT